ATGCTGACCTTGGCAGTGATGCCCATGTCCTGTGAATGAATTAAAAGGAGTACTGTTGAAGCACCGATAACATGGCAAACATCATCTTGAGACCAGTCCTTAACTTTCCAGTTTCGGGATGCAAACTTAATTTGTGCAACAGGGCTTCGTAATGTAACCCCTTAAGTTCCAGCGTGGTTTTGGTGAATGCTTGCTGCTGTGATAAGTAAATGGCCAATGAGCCAGGCTGATTGGTTTTAGCACATTCTTTTGCCCTGTTCTATGCAATCAGGAATCAGTAAAAACCATAAAATTATCCAATGAACATTCAGAAAGAAGACATTTTTGACAATTTTGGTTCTTCTGGAGTTCCTCTGGTTGATTGTGTGGTATCTTTCAGGATGTTAAACCCAGGTCTAATTTGTCCTCTGCGGGGGGACGTACAAGATCCCATGGTACTGTTTCGAAGAAGAACAGGGGAGATCTCCCCAGTGTCCTGATCTATATTGATCCTCCAATCAACAACACAAACATGCAGTTGGCCAAAAAAAACAGGTTGGAAGGTGAAGGTGGGATATGAGTTCAAATCCCACCATGTGGCAGCTGGTAGAATTTACATTCAAGGCTAATTTCAGTAATAGTGATCATGAAACTATCATTGAGTCTTGTAAAAAAAAAAAACTCATCTGTTCACTAATGTCCTTGAGGAAAGGGAAATCTGCTGTCCTTACCTGGTCTGGCCCACATGCCGTTTAGACCCACAGTCATGTGGTTGGCTCTAAAGTGGCTGAACAAGCCACTCGGGTCCAGGGCAATTAGGGATGAGCAACAAATGTTGGTCTGGCCACCAACACCCACATCTCATGAACAAAACAAAAGGGGCCTCTCAAAGAAGAGAGAAACAGAGAGCTTTCATGGAGGAATTCCACCACTGAAACCCATGCAGATGAAGGCATTTCCCAAAAGAAAATTGTCCAGTCATTGCCCTGTTGCCGTTTGAGAGAGTTTACTGTGCATAAATTGGCCACTGCATGCTTCCCATAAAACAGTCACTGCACCCACTTATAAAAAACTTGTTTTGGCTAGATGCAATTTGTTCCTAAATTATCAAAGGTTCTATGTAAATGCAAGAGTTCCTTTTTCTTTTGCAGACCATGGGGCTTAGTGCTTTGCTTCAGAGACACAGGAAGCCTCAGCAAGAGACAATCCCAGGACCACTGCAGTGGCTCCATTATGTCCTAGGCAGTTTGCTATAATGGCTATAATCAGAGACTTGGGAGGAGACTGTAGAATTAAGTTTGGCTGTGTGATGTGCTAATGAGGCAAAGTACACGTCATCATAGAAAAAGATATTTTTCTTCAGTGCCTTCAAAGATAGGTGGAGGGACAGGTAGTATTGAGGAGGTGGGAGGTTGCAGAAGGATTTGGACAGGTTAGGAGAGTGGGCAAAGAAGTGGCAGATGGAGTACAATGTGGGAAAGTGTGAGGTTATGCACTTTGGTAAGAAGATTAAAAGCATGGACTGTTTTCTAAATGGGGAGAAAATTCAGAAGTCTGAAGTGCAAAGAGACTTGGGAGTTCTAGTCCAGGATTCTCTCAAGGTAAACTTGCAGGTTGAGTCAGTAGTCAGGAAGGCAAATGTAATGTTGGCATTTATTTTGAGAGGACTTGAATATAAAAACAGGGATGTACTACTGAGGCTTCATAAGGCTCTGGTCAGGCCACATTTGGAGTACTGTGTGCAGTTTTGGGCCCCATATCTCAGGATGGATGTACTGGCCCTGGAGCGGGTTCAGAGGAGGTACACGAGAATGGTCCCAGGAATGGAAAGCTTAACATATGAGGAATGTTTGAGGACTCTGGGACTATACTCATTGGAGTTTAGAAGGATGAGGGGGGATCTAATTGAAACTTACGGAATACTGAATGGCCTGGACAAAGTGGATGTTGGGAAGATGCTTCCATTGGTAGGAGAGACTAGAACGCGAGGGCACAGCCTTCGAGTAAAGGGAAGACCTTTTAGAACGGAGATAAGGAGAAACCTCTTCAGCCAGAGAGTGGTGAATCTATGGAATTCACTGCCACAGAAGGCTGTGGAGGCCAGGCCATTGAGTACATTTAAGATTGCGATAGATAGGTTCTTGATTATCAAGGGTTACAGGGAGAAAGCGGGAGAATGGGGTTGAGAAACGTATCAGCCATGATTGAATGGCAGAGCAGACTCAGTGGGCCGAATGGCCTAATTTCTGCTCCTATGTCTTATGATATAATATCACATGACATTTTGCAGCTGCATTATAGAATGTTTCTTAAATCAATGTTTCCATTACCTCAGCAACTCTGTAAAAATACAGCAGCTCCATTGTATCTTAGGAAGCAATTGAGGGCAAATCCCAGCAAAGCTATTGCCTTGTAAATATTATGAAGTAAGTTCTGAGAGCAAGGGTTGCAGGACTGGGGCAAAGAGCATGACACCAGACACAATCCGACCCCAATTTGACTGCATTGAGTTCTGAGCAATTGGCCTGTGGTAAATGCAATTGAGATGATTGGTTATGGGCTTTACTGGCAAAGCTTGCATTTGTTGCCCCATCCCTTTTACCCTCGAATGGATTGGCTTTCTAAGTCATTCCAAAGGGCAGTTGAGAGTTGACCACATTGTGGGTCTGGAGTCACATGTAGGTCAGATAAGATAAGGATTTCATATTCACTTCCCTAAAGGACATTGGTGAACCAGATGGGATTTTCTGGCATGGTTGACATTAGACTAGCTTTTAATTCCAGATTGTATTGAATTTGAATTTCACAGCTGCCATCATAGGCTTTGAACTCCTGTCTGCCCCAGGACATTAGCAAAGGAGTCTGGATTACCAGCCCACTGACATTACCAGTCAAATCACTACAGGAGAAAATGGGTTCTGATTAACAGGCACCTTAATCAGCACACTTTTAGTTTCTTCCATTTTATAAATTGTTGTGATCATTTGAAATTTGGCAATTCTTGCATTTAACCTGATGTGGGTGAAATGAAAAGTTTCAGCAACATGTCTCTTCTTTCAGCAATTTATTAGAAAAGGAAAAATCTAAGTGTTTTTTTAAGCACTCTTCAAACAGAATCAATAAAGGGGTCTGTCGCCTACATGAGACTGTGTCCCCAGCATTGATTTGCCCCAAGGCTGCACTATTACACTCATAAACTCCAAACCTAGGGACTGTGTGCCAATTACAAAGTATGTCTTTGATTTATTTATCTGGATCAGACCTGTATTTCTCAACTTCACCACCTTTTTTAATCTCACTGACTTTTGTTGCCTTTTCTGACTTCCGGCCCCAGATCACTTCAACCTTCCTTCCTCCCCCAATCTCATTCTGATCTTTGCTCCCCATCCATTGTCACCACACACCTAGTCTCACCCCACAATCCTCCACTCCTCAGCATTCCAGTCTTTCCCCTCGGACTTCCTCTGCCAACATCATTTGACTTGACCCTGTGATCCATAGCTTGACCCTTGATTTTTGACCCGAGCTAACTCAAAATGACCCAAGAACCGATCTCTGTTCTGACTTGAACCTGACCGTCAGGCCTCAGTTGAGGACCCACTTACCCAAGGGGTCTGAGGGGCACTCATGGAGCTCCACCTTGCCCCTGAAGAGCTTGTCTTTTGATGCTGTGTAATAATGAAGATCAATATCTGGGAAGTTAGGACATTAGTGCTGATCAAAGTGGAGATGATACCCTTGTATCTAGACCCAAAAGTGGCAATCCAAGTTTCTGGTCCATTACTGCTGACATCTCATTTCTTTATATTCCAAATGATGGCGACATAGGAGCAAGAGTAGTCCATCCAGCCCATCAATCCTGCGCAGCCATTCAATTAGATCATGGCTGATCAGCAGTCTTAATGCTATGAATGGGGCAGTGCAGTGGCTCAGTGGTTAGCACTGCTGCCTCACAGTGCCAGGAACTTGGGTTCGATTCCAGCCTTGGGTGACTGTCAGCATGGAATTTGCACATTCTCCCTGTGTCTGCGTAAGTTTCCTCTGGGTGCTCTGGTCATCTCCCACAGTCCAAAGGTGTGCAAGTTAGATGGATTGGCCACGCTATAGTGTCCATGGATGTGCAGGCTAAGTGGATTAGTCATGGGAAATATAGGGTTATAGGGAATGGATCTGAGGTGGGATGCTGTTCAGAGGATTGGTGTGGACTGAATAGGCCAAATGGCCTGTTTCCACACTGTAGGGATTCTATGCCATTCTCCAGCACTCTTAGATCTCTCTGCGTCATTTGTGTCTGGAAATTTCTTGATCTCTGTCTCATATGATTATGCTTTCACAGCCTCTGGGTTAGATAATTCCCAAAGTTTCACCATCCTCTGAGTGACAAAGTCACTGTGTGAAATGACCTGCCTTTTATTCCGAGATAATGTCCCTGGTTTTAAACTCACCAGCCAGGAGGTGACTCCTAATTATGTTCAGCTTGTCACAACCTGCAAGAATTCTAGAAGAATTTTAGATGGCCTGTTATTCTTTGAGACTCTAAGGAATATGGACCTGGGCCTTAATCTCTCTTCATAGAGAGGCAGCCGTTTTGTGGCGCAGTGTTAATGTCCCTACCCCTGCGCCAGGAGGCCTGGGATCAAGTCCCACCTGCTCCAGAGACATGTAATATCATCTCTCAACAGGTTGATTAGAAAAATAGGTTAACAAAGGAAAAAAAATTAAGACAATCCTAACATTTGAGGGAATAATTGGGTGAACCTTCATTGCACCCCCTGGATGGCAACTGTATCCTTTCTTGGATAAGGAGAACAAAACTACACAGTATTTCCATGTGAGGTCTTGCTCCCCTCTGTATACTTACAGCTGTGATCATTTCGCTGATTATTGAGGGAGGGTGTTGTAAAGATATTTGGATGTGGTATTCTGAGACCAGCTCCTTTCTCAATCTTTTCCTGTTTTCTCTCCTCCCTGTTTGTCTGCCATGTTGTTTGCTTGACTCCACCTCTCTGCCCACTCCCTAGACATTTCGGTCAGTCTGCTTGCTGTAGTCGTCTGTTTCTGTGGGCTTGCCCTGTTGGTAGTGTCTCTGTTTGTGTTTTGGAAGCTTTGCTGGCCGTACTGGAGGAATAAAGATCTCACCTCTAACGCAAGTAATGTCCCTCAGCAAACATCAAGCGACGTACCGGAGGCTGTGGAAACTCCAGAGAAAAAGGAGATTAAGGAAATTAAAGAGAACGGGAAGAATTCAGTCACGCTACTGGCGACCGCCATGAAGATCAGCCAGACCTCTCCCGATATACCTGCTGAGGTCCAAGCAGCTCTCAAGGAGCATCTCCTCAAACACACACGTGTGCAACGTCAGACCACTGAACCAACAACCTCCTCCAGGTTAGTACCAAGCCAAGCGGGATTGGTTCGTGGTCAGCAGGAGACATACAAATTTTGTTTTCCTCTTTATTCATTCATGGGATGAGCCAGCATTTATTGCCCAGAGGGCAGTTCAGTGTCAACCACATTGCTGTAGGTCTGGAGTCACATGCAGGCCAGACCAAGTAAGGATAGCAATTTCCTTCCCTAAAGGGCATTAGTGAAACAGTTGGGTTTGTCCGACAATCGATTGATTAATAGACTCATAATTCTGGATTACTGTCTTATTGAATCCAAATTTAACCATCTGCCATGGCAGGATTCAAACCTGGGTCCCCATTGCACGGGGTTAACAGTTCTGCGATAATACCACTGGGCCATCGCTTCCCCATAGTGTTTAGCTTAACTGGCCGAGTGTCTGAGCAATGAAGGCAATAGGAAAATTGGTCTGGTCTGGCAATGTCTGCAGAGAGAGCAGGGGGATTAGCATGCCCAGAAGGGAAACACCAGTAAAAGTGGCAAATGATACATACTGATTTGACTTGTCTTTATGCTTCCAAATGGAGCTCCAGTGTAACCTGTAAAATAAAACAAAGAACTGTGAATGCTGGAGATTGTAACAAAAAATGGAAACTGCTAGCAAAATTCAGTAGTTTGGCTCGGTGGCTCAGTGGGTAGCACTGCTGCCTCACAGCACCAGGATCCATGGTTTGATTCCAGCCTTGGACAACTATCTGTGTGGAGTTTGCACATTCTCCCCGTGTCTGTGTGGGTTTCCTTCGGGTTCTCCGGTTTCCTCCCACGGTCCAAAGATGTGCAGGTTAGGTGGATTGGCCATGCTAAGTTGCCCGTAGTGCCCCAGGGATGTGCTGGCTAGGTGGGTTAGCCATGGGAAATACAGGGTAGGGGGGTGGGCCTGGGTGGGATACTTTCCAAAGCGTTGGTGTGGACTTGATGGGCTGAATGGCCTGCTTGTATGATTCTGTATGAGGCCTGGCAGTATCTTTGGGAAGAAAGCAGAGTTAATATTTCGACTCTGGTGACATCAGAACTGTTACTAGCAAGGAAAAAGTGGTATTTCTGCTGAAGTGGGGAAGGCAGGTGGGAGGAGAATGGGAGAGGTCAGCAGATATGAGGGATGGAGATGGAAACCAGAGAGAGATATCAAAGGGGTAGGCAAAGATGGTAATGATGGATAGCAGGCCAGGACAGAAGAAAACCTTAATTGTTAATAATAAAGAGCTCAGACTGAGAAAATGTGTTAGCTGTGCTGAATGCGACCCATACAGTGTGATAATGGGCTTTTGTCTACGTGCAAATGGGTGGCTGTGCCTAAAGCAACCCATATCATAACAGGACTAGGTGTGGGGTGGGTAAAAAATCACAAGGATGGAATCAGGCTCTAAACTTATTGAACTCAATGTTGAGTCCCAGAGGTTGCAGGTTCCCAAGTGGAACAATACTATTCAGTCCAGATCTGGAATACCTCAGGCTTATCAAAGCTGAGATAATTAGTAAGCAAGACAAAGGTTATGGGGAAAAGATAGGAGATTGGAGTTGAGGATTTTCAGATCAGCCACATTGAATTTCATTGAATGTCAGAACAGACGTGATGGGCTGAATGGCCTACTTCTGCTCCTATGTTGTTATAGTGTTGATAACACTGGTGTGACAAGGGAACAAACAAAAGTTGAGTGGAGATGGAGTGTTACGGTAACAGTAGAAACACCATGAACAACTGCTGTCTGAATAAATGGACCGAGGTTATGATCTGAAAATGTTAAATTTACCTTTGAAACTGGAAAATGCCTCATTGAAAGATGAGTTGCTGGTTCTTGAGTTGGTGTTGAAATATATTCGTTTGAATATTGCAGGAGGCTAAAACTGAGAGGACAGTGGCTATGTGAAATGGCAGACTAAGATGAGAAGCCATCAGATAACTTGGTTCTACGCAAAAAGGAAGTGTTGTTCTGTAACGCGGTTGGCCAATCTATGCTTGGCTTTTCCCAATGGAGATTAGGTTGTAAACATCAAACTTGAATATTGAGGGAAGTAAAATAAATTGTTTCTTCACCTGTAGGGAGAGTTTGGGGCCCATCATGGTGAGAGCAAGAGGAGGTGAAAGGTCTGAGAGAGCATCTGCTGTGCTTATTTCAGAAGGTGTCATGGGGAGAGGAAGAGGTAGACAGGACATTCTGGAGGAAATATCCCTTCAGAATGTTGGGAAGGGAGGGGAGGTGTCATACCAGACTAGGTCTGAAGGATAATCCATTCCTTATGGAGATAAGGACGAGGGGAACCCTATTGTAGCTCTGAGATGGAGAGGAAGAGGTGAGAGCAGCAATGTGAAAAATGGGACAGATATGGAGGAGAGCCATTTCACTGCAGTGGGGATGGCATGCTGCCTAGATTGACAATAAAGGAAGATTAAACAAGGTTAGTGCTCATGGAATAAAAGGACATTAGCAACTGGATGCACAGTTGGCAGATTGATAGGAAACAGAGAGTCATGATTAATGGGTGTTTTTCAGATTGGAGGAAAGTTTGTAGCCGACATCCCCAGGAATCCGCAACAGGACCCCTGCTCTTTCTGATGTACAGTGATAGCTGGGTGTCTAGGGCACAATGGGTGACACACAATACTCGTAAATATTGTGAACTGGGAGGGTAGTTTAGAATTTCAAAAGTTAATAGAAGTGTTGGACAAGTGAAGGATGAAATTTAGTTTTAAGAAGTTTGAAGTGATTTGGTAGAAACAACAGGGAGGAATGATGAGTACAATTGTTGACAGGGTGTAGGAGCAGAAGGACTTGGGTCTTTATGTGGATCGAAGATGGTAGGACGGGTTGGGAGACCAGTAAAAAAAATGTATAACGTTCTGAGCTTTTCAGTAGGGACATCCAGTACAAGAGCAAGGAAGTTGTGTTAAACCTGTATAAAACACTGGTATGGCCTCAGCTTGAGGATTATGTGCAGTTGTGAGGGTTACACTTTAGGAAGGTGGTGAAGGCACTGGAGAAAGTATAGTAAAGATTCACAAGGAAGATTCCAGGCCTGAGGAACTTCAGTTATGCGGACAGATTGGAGAAATTAAAGCTGTTTTCCCTGGAGAAGGGAAGGCTGAGAGAAGGTTAACTCTATCCATAGCTGCTGCCAGGTTAGCTGAGTCTCTCCAGCGATTTCTGTATTTTTATTGCTGATCTCCAGCATCCACAGCATTTTGTTTTCACTATGTAAAATTGAGAGGTGGTTTGATAGAGATGGTCAAAATCAGGAAGGGTCTGCAGAGCAGATAGAGAGAAGCTGTTCCTATCGAAAGTTCAAGAATGGGATGGATTACATTGAGAGCAGTTGGCAGTGATGATAGGAAGGAAAGTTGGCTTGTGGAATGAGTGGTTATGAAGTAGAATTCTCCATCTGATAGCAAGATGGCGGCAACTTCAACTGAGGATTTCAAGAGGGAGTTGGATCATGGTCTGAAAAGGAATGTGTCTGAGGGTCATGACTTGAAGACTATGGAGTGGCAGAAGCTAATGAGTCTGCAGGCCCCTGGGGACCAGGGATTGGAGAGGGTGATGCCTGAGACTGATGACTCATGGAGGGGAGGGGGTACGATGGTCGAGCTTGATACAGGAGTGCTGCCTGATTTTGGCGATCCATAGTGGGCCAAGTCATGGCATTAAAGCAGTAAATCAATTCAATCTTCAGTTTAGTTCTGGATGAGCTATGTAATGTCACATGTGTCACGTGTTATTTCACTTATGATAGATGCTGTAATATTATTAATTTCAATCTTTCAAAGGCACAGCATTGTTCTGTATCACTTTATCTACAAAAAATCCTTTGATAGCCTTCTTTTTGGGTCTTCCAATAAGTGAAAAGAGTGGATAATGTTGATGGGTTGTTTCACTTTGTTCAGACAGTAGTTCCAGGGAACATGGCCTACTCTTGAGGGAGAGAAATTATAAAACTAACCCAGAGAAACAAACAGCTGACTCAAAACTCTCCCAGGCAGGGTCAGGTGAGGTATTAAAATCAACCCAAACCCACTCACTTGACGGATAACTTTTTGGAGGCAGCATGAGGAGCAGGTACTGACCCAATCCGGGCTGCTTTATACACAGCTTTACAGTGGCCAGAGACAATAGTTCTCAGCCTTCAGAAAACTTGGCAACTGTATGGAGCTGAGGACAGGTTCACACAGCCTTTACAGCACTGGCAGTAGGCCAAGAGGATCAGGACATCTTCACTCTAAAAGTTCCAACAGCCATCTCTCCATATATAGATCACACCCATCCTCAAGTTCTACTGTTGGCTGGAACTTAGCTACCATTCCCACAGCCTCCCTGCCTGTTCCCGCACAAACCTGTGCCCGCAGCCTCCCTGCCTGTTCCCACAGACACCTCTCCAGTCTGCTCTGCCTAACTGCAAGCCAAGCCTGTTCATTAGGCTGAATCCTAGGCAGATAATGTTGTAAAGAATAATCTCACCCAATTGACATAGATCGATCACTGAAATGAATCAATTACTCTGACACTGTTTTATCAAGAGACTGTCAGGATGGACAGAGCGAACCTTTGTCAATCAACAAGTGAAGCATTCCGTAAGATTAGCACTCTCTCCTCTTAATCAGGAGATTGTTCATCCCAGTTCCACTCCAGAGCTTTGGGTATGAAAGTTTTTTAAGCTGACAGTCTGATGCTGTACGGAGGTGGTGTTTTTGAGATGTTAAACCATCACTCCCCCAACGCTGTGAGGTGTTTTATTTTGTGGAAGGGCAGGGGAAATCCTCCTTAATATCTTGGCCATGGAGTAGATTATCTCTTCATTCTGCTGTGGCTCTTTGGCAGAGCCTTTGGCAAATTAATGGGCACATTTCCTATATTGGAACAATGAATGCACTGTAAAAGTAATTCAATGGCTGAAGAGCACTTTGCAATGTAGGTCATGAAAAGTGCTGTAGCTGATTTGTCTGTCTTCAGAACATCGATAGTGTATCAGTTTCTGAGCAGTGAGTTGGATACTGATGTCAGATCTCTTCCTGCTCTGCTGGTGGGTGAAGAAGGAAATGTTAAACTTTGTTTAAAGTCACGATTAATTTTTTTTTGATCCAAACTGGTAATAGTGCAGTGATATTTAAGAGATTGGACCATTTTCCTTTTATAGGCATAATTCCTTCAAAAGGCACTTACCAAGACAAATGCATGTTTCAAGTGTTGATTTCAGTATGGATAGCTTGCAGAGAGGAGAGACAACCACCAGTATTGGACGCATTAAACCGGAGCTCTATAAACAGAAGTCTGTCGACTCTCAGGATGGTGAGCAAGAGGATGTGAAAACGAGTGGAAAATTGAACCTTACCCTTAAGTACGATTACGAGAATCAGCATTTGATCGTAACCATTCTGAAATGCTTGGACTTGCCAGCAAAAGACTTTTCCGGAACCTCAGACCCTTATGTTAAAATTTACCTGCTTCCAGATCGGAAAAAGAAATTCCAGACTCGAGTTCACAGAAAGACACTCAATCCCATCTTTAATGAAACCTTTCAGTTCCCAGTGCCCCTGGACCAGCTCAGCAACAGGAAGCTGCATTTCAGCGTTTATGACTTTGACCGATTTTCGAGACACGACATGATTGGGGAGGTAATTGTGGATAACCTGTTCGAGTTGCTGGAACCTCCGAAGGAAGACACCATCTGGAGGGACATCATCTGTGTCAAGACTGTGAGTTTGATTGCTGCCAGAAATTTCGGCTGCTTTTGCAATGTTCCCAGGTGCCAAATATCCCCTGCCTTGGTAAATTGCTAGCTTCTTAAGCCGAAGGTTGTAAACTGGATTTGAGTAGGCCTGATAAATATAGTTTCCAAATAATGGGAGTACAACATTGACACTGAGGTAGATCTTTAACCATTTCATAAGTAGGATGATCTTAGCTTGTTTTGCTGCCTGAGTTGAGTTTTACCCCAATCTCTTTTGTGGGAAATGTTGAACATCGTACCACTCAAATGTATATAGAACATTGCGTGGCATTAAGTTCTGGAAGTAATATCCATCCCTCAATCACTAATATAGTGACAAATCACAAAGTTCTGAGTAGCGGTGGGTATCTTAAGGAGCTATTAAGATGAGTGCTTTTAAGGATAACCGAAAGTTCTGGAAATACCTAGAAGGTTGAGCCACGCTGATGTGTAAGGAGACAAAGGAAAAGGAAATCAAAGCTGACTTCTTCTGAAGAGTCACATTTGATTCAAAACTAACTCTGGCCTGGATTTCATGTTACAAGTTCGGGTGGGCTACTGTTTTGAAATTTTTGTTTTTGTTGCCCACCAGATTTATTTTTGGGGTATCATATGAGAAAAGATTCAGGGATGATTTTTTTGGTAGCCATAACAAGGCACAAGGATGGAAGAAAATGCTCCCAGGACCATGGCTCGTTACAGCAGCAGATGCTGTCGGGCAAGGTGACTTTTTTTTTAATGACAGTTTTAGAATTATTTTTAAATTGAACTTTCAATGAAGAGCTAATGCTGGGAATGAAGGCCCTCTACAATTTCTAGTTATAGAGTCATACAGCATGGAAACAGACCCTTTGGAGAAACTAGTCCATGCTGACCATAATCCTAAACCAAAAAAATACCAAAAGAACTGCGGATGCTGTAAATCAGGAACAAAAACAGAAACAGAAACAAAAACAAAGTTGCTGGAAAAGCTCAGCAGGTCTGGCAGCATCTGTGGAAGAGAAAACAGAGTTAACGTTTCGGGTCTGGTGACCCTTCCTCAGAATTGATGGTGGCTGGGAAAACGTCAGTTTATATGTAGAAAATAGGGAGATGTGTGGGGTAGGGAGTAAACGATGGGATAGAGCCCAAAGAGAGAGAAAGACAGTTGGACAGACAAAGGAGTTGCTAACGATCAGGCTGGGAGGGTGAATAGTTGTTAATGGGGACTGTTCGTGACTAACAACAGGGGGTGTGTAGTGGCAGGCTATGTGGTAACAAGGCCTGGTGTGTGGGGTGGGGGGCTGGGACATGGAAGAGTTTAGGCCCTAAAATTATTGAACTCAATATTGAGTCCGGAGGGCTGTAGGGGCCCCAAGCGGAAAATGAGGTGTTGTTCCTCCAGCTTGCGTTGGGCTTCACTGGAACACTGTAGCAAGCCGGAGACACAGATGTTGGCCAGAGAGCAGGGTGGTGCATTGAAGTGGCACGCAACAGGTAGTTCAGGGATAGTAGGAACTGCAGATACTGGAGAATCTGAGATAACAAGGTGTAGAGCTGGATGAACACAGCAGGCCAAGCAGCATCAGAGGAGCAGGAAGGCTGACGTTTCGGGCCTAGACCCTTCTTCAGAAATGGTAGTTCAGGGTCTTTTTTGCGAGCCGAACGTAGATGTTCTGCGAAGCGGTCGCCAAGTCTACGCTTCATTTCCCCAATGTAGAGGAAGACCACATTGTGAGCAGCGAATGCAGTAGACTAGATTCTGGGAAGTGCAGGTGAAGTGTTGCTTCACCTTTCCATTACAAACCCACTAACCTGGACTATACATCCTCACACCTGACTTCCTGTAAAGACTCCATCCTGTTCTCTCAGTTCCTCTGTCTCCGTCGCATATGTTCAGATGAGGCCAACTTCGACAAGGGAGCCTCCGAAATGTCCACATTGTTCCTCAACCGAGGATTCCCCAGCTCCGTTGTCGACAGGGCCCTCAATGGGGTCCAACCCATCTCCCGCACTTCTGCCCTCACCCCTTCCCTTCCCTCCTGCAACAGCGATAGGGTTCCCCTTATCCTCACCTACCATCCCACCAGCACCACATCCAGAAGATCATCAGACGCCATTTCCACCACCTCCAGCAAGATGCCACCACCAGACACACATTCCCCTCCCCTCCCTTGTCTGCCTTCCGCAGGGACTTTTCCCTCCGGGACACCCTGGTCCACACTTCCTTCACCCCCAACACCTCCCCACAGCCCTACGGCACCTTCCCCTGTAACCGGCGAAGGTGCAACACCTGCCCATTTACCTCCTCCCTCCCCAGTATCCAAGGGCCCAAACATACCTTCCAGGTGAAGCAACACTTCACCTGCACTTCCCAGAATCTAGTCTACTGCATTCGCTGCTCACAATGTGGTGGTCGCTACATTGGGGAAACGAAGCGTAGACTTGGCAACCGTTTCTCAGAACATCTATGTTCTGCTCGTAAAAAAGACCCTGAACTACCTGTTGCCTGCCACTTCAATGCACCACCCTGCTCCCTGGCCAACGTCTCGGTCTCTGGCTTGCTACAGTGTTCCAGTGAAGCCCAACACAAGCTGGAAGAACAACACCTCATTTTCCGCTTGGGGATCCTACAGCCCTCCGGACTCAATATTGAGTTCAATAATTTTAGGGCCTAAACTCTCCCATGTCCCAGCACCCCACCCCACACACCAGGCCTTGTTACCCCAGCCTGCCACTACACACTCCCTGTTGTTAGTCACTAACAGTCCCCATTAACAACTACTCACCCTCCCAGCCTGATCGTTAGCAACTCCGTTGTCTGTCCAACTGTCTTTCTCTCTCTTTGGGCTCTATCCTATCATTTACTCCCTATCCCACCCACCTCCCTATTTTCTGCATATAAACTGATGTTTTCCCAGCCACCATCGGTTCTGAGGAAGGGTCACCGGACCCAAAACATTAACTCTGTTTTCTCCTCCACAGATGCTGCCAGACCTGCTGAGCTTTTCCAGCATGCATTGTTTTTGTTCATAATCCCAAACCAAACTAGTCTCACCTGTCTGGGTTTGGCTCAAATCCCTCCAAACCTTTATTATTCATGTACTTATACCATAAAACAACTAAAAATGAATCAGAATAAGAATCTTATATGACTGAAATGGAATGATTGTAAGAAATCTAGAAATAAGCCTAAATCTCGGGAGCAGCTGCAATATCTGTGCTACTCTCCGTCTTCCATTTGAGAAAAGCTGTGACTGACTTCCTATTTCTGATGTTATCTGTCTGCCACATTATCTTCCTGCCCTTTTTTTATTTACTCATAGAATGGGCAACTGGGTGGGCAACATTTATTGCCCATCCCTAATTGCCCTTGAGAAGGTGGTGGTGAGCTGTATTCTCGAACCACTGCAATCCATGTAGAATTATTATACAATCCCTACAGTGTGGATACAGGCCATTCAGCCCAACAAGTCCACACCCCCCCCCCCCCCCCGCCAACAAAGAGCATCTCTCCTACCTTTTCCCCATTACTCTGCATTTCCCATGACTAACACACCTAATCTACACACCCCTGAACACTATGGGCAATTTAGCACAGCCAGTCCACCTACCCTGCACATCTTTGGACTGTAGGAGGAAACCGGAGCAAACCCATGCAGACATGGGGAGAATGTGCAAATACCACACAGACAGTTGCCTAAGGGTGGAATTGAACCCATGTCCCTGGTGCTGTGAGGCAGCAGTGCTAACCACTGAGCCACCGTGCTGCCTATCTATAGTGCTGTTAGGTTTTGGACCCAGCGACGCTGGAGAGACAACAATATAGTTTCAAGTCAGGATGATGAGTGGCTTGGAAAGCAACGTGCAAGTGGCAGTCACTACTCCCAATCAATTCTACCAGCCTGCAGGGCTAACTGGAAAGGAGGGGGTGTTGATGAGCAGCTTCCACTCAAGGAATGTAGACATCTCTGGCTAGGCCAGCATTTATCGTCCATTCCTAATTGCCCAGACAGCAGTTAAGAGTAAACCACATTGCTGTGGGTCTGGAGTCATTTACAGGCCAGACCAGGTAAATATAGCTTATTTCCTTCCCTAAAAGACATTAGTGAACCAGATGGTTTTTTTTCCAATAACTGCCAGTTGTTTCATGGTAATCATTTAGACCTTTAATTCCAGATTTTTATTGGATTCAAATTCCACCATCTGCCATGGCAAGATTAGAACCTGGGTCCCCAGAACATCGCTAAATTTCTGGATTAATTGTCTAGCAATAATCCCACTAGGCCACCACTTCCCTGCACAAACGGTCAAACTAATTGACCTTAATCAGGCATTGATTGGACATACAGAAACAGTTGTGGGCAGGAGTAAGTTGAGCCCTTAGTTTATATTCTGGCTCTCACCTTGCCAAGAAATGCAACATTGAACCCTTTGATTTTTTTCCTGCCAAACCTGTGGGGTATTTCCTGCAATTTTCTAATGAACTCACATTTCTGGTATTCACAATATTCTGTATTTGTTTTAGGTTTTAAGACAGTCAGCATGATGAGGCAGGCAAACACTCTTTGTTGCATAATTCTGTTCTCAATCTCAAATCATTGATTTGAGGTGAGTTCCTCTTGAAGGGACTAAAATGTAAATGCTTTTGCGATGTTAAAAGTGTAACTTTAAATGTTCTTTTTTTTTCTTGTGACAGGAAAGCGTGGATTTAGGGGAGATTATGTTTTCTCTTTGCTACCTTCCAACAGCTGGTCGAATGACACTGACCGTCATCAAATGCAGGAATCTTAAAGCCATGGACATCACAGGATTCTCTGGTATGTCTGGGGGAAGAGCTGTCAGCCTCTGAATGTCCCACCCCCCTCCCAATGTCTCTACTCCAGCCAAACATCCACAAGTGGCCTCCCCGCTGCTTTCCCGCAAACATCAACCTTCCTGCTCCTCAGCTGCTGCCTGGCCTGCTGTGTTCCTCCAGCTCCACACTGCGTTAGCTCCTCCAGCTCCGCACTGCGTTAGCTCTTCCTGCTATGTAGTTTGGGCAGCCACCCCTGGCAGAGACGGTGCTGGATGAACTCTCAAAGTCTAGCCGGTTCTGAGGAAGGTTCACCGGACCCGAACGTTAACTCTGATTTTTTTTGTTGTTCACAGATGCTGCCAGACCTGCTGAGTTTTTCCAGCAACTTCTGTTTTTGTTCCCAAAGTCTAGATCATAGATATCAAAGAATCCCTACAGCGTGGAAACAGGCCCTTCGGCCCAACATGTCCACACTGACCCTCGGGAGCATCCCACCCAGACCCATCCTCCTATAACCCACCTAATCTACACATCCTTGAACACTATGGGCAATTTAGCATGGCCAATCCACCTAACCTACGCATCTTTGGACTGTGGGAGGAAACCGGAGCACCCGGAGGAAACCCAAGCAGATACGAGGAGAATGTGCAAACTCCACACAGACCATCACCCAAGGGTGGAATCAAACCCATGTCACTGGTGCTGTGAGTCCAGAGAGTCATTATTCCCGTTACAGAAATAACATTCAGCCCATCGGATCCATGTTGTCTCTCTGCAGAGCAATCAAGTCAGTTTTGATGTATTTTGGGGCTTTTAGTATTATGTTAGCTCTCATAACCTGAAGCGCTGAGACTGGGTTCTCACTGAGAACAAGTATCAGAAGATTTATTTTTGAGCAACTAAACACAGTGTGACTTTATCACAGATATTCGGAGTCTGGGCATAAGCTGGGTGACTATGCGGAAGGAGAAACAAGTAAAACTGGCGGCTGTCAGGCCAGTATGTGTTATTTCTTGTACACTTCAAAACAAAGCTCCACTCTGCCCAAAACATTCATTTCCAACTATTACTGGTTTTTCAATTTACCTGATGGATTACTAATAAAATGAGTCTCTATTCAAGGTGGAGTTCATACTTTAATGCAAGAATATCACTTGGCATAATGCTGCATTGATATCACTCTGTTAAAGGCATGGGTTTATCTGATCTTAGGCACATACAATATCACAACATCCCCTCTTTCCATCAAAGAATAGGATTTCTCCCATGAAAAGCCTGTGCGAGATTAGAAATTTAAAAAAAACAGGATTGCTTTTACACAATTTTCTCTACACATTGAGATTGTTTGGTGGACATATAAAATGACCAGATTGAGTCTGTATACTGAATCAGAGATAGTAGGAACTGCAGATGCTGGAGAATCCGAGAGAACAAGGTGCAGGGCTGGATGAACACAGCAGGTCAAGTAGCATCATAGGAGCAGAAAGGCTGACGTTTCGG